GTTAGTGCCAGATATCCTGAATTTCTAAATCTGCACTTTAGCTACTAGACTAGGGTCCTTCATAATACTGGTACTTAGTGAACAGGGTTACTTATTCCCTTTTCATTTCTTGAATACACCTCTACCCCGATATAATGTGACCCAATATAACACAAATTCGGATATAACATGGTAAAGCAGTGTTCCGGGGGGGCAGGGCTGTGCACTCTTGCGGATCAAAGCAAGTTCAATATAACGTGGTTTCACCTATAACGCGGTAAGATTTTTTGGCTCCTGAGGACAGCGTTATATTGGGGTAGAGGTGTACTATCATACTGTTACCAGAGGCTCTGACAAGCTAGCAGCCCTCTTCTAGTTTTGCATTATATGGGAATAAAACAAGATACAAGTCTAAGTTTTCTTGGTGGACTTGAACACACAAATCCTATCAGTACTACCTAAACAATAGCTGGAAGAGTGTGGGACAATTAAAAAAGGCCATTAATCCCCTCCAATGGCAAGTAGGTAGCAAGTAGTGCTTTCAAGCAGCAGCTATTGTACATAATAAATGTCTGCCCATAATTAGACAGGAGATGAAGGTGTCCTTTGTGCACCAAAGATAAAGTCAACTTGTGGAGTTATGGGCTCCATGATTAATCTCAGAAGTGCCAGAATGGAAAAGTTCCTAAGGCCTGATTCTCCTCTCAATCAGAGCAGCACACACTTAGTGTTTCCAATTCTCGCCATTTCATTGGAAGTCTTGTGATATTTGGTATTTCTCCTAGATCCTCAGCTGCTGCAATCAGGAGCTTACATGAGAAATTCAGCTTCTTTTTGTGTATTTATTTATTAAATGCACAGAAAGTTTCTAGCCCCCAGTTTCAGAGAACAAGCTTAAAGCTAGGCCTGCCTGGAAAACACTCTAGTATTGTGAAAAAGGTTGATATTTGGGAATTTTTTTTCATTTCCAATGCAGAACGAAATCTGAGACCTTTCACAATTTTTCATGAAAAGCAAAGAGAGAGAAAGACCTGCTCCCCAAAACAGCCCCGGGATTAGGGCACTCATGTAGGATGTGGGAGAAATCCCCTTTCTGCCTGATTCACAGTAGGCATATGAACCTCAGTCTCCCACAACCCATGTAAGTGCCTAACCACTGGGCCATTCTGGGATGGTTAATAATTATGATCGTATTATTTTATTAACAGGAGACCCATTTCTCATGCTGTTTCAGGTTATTCTGCAATACTGGGGGAGTAGAACAGACCTAGCTAAACTGGATTGTGACCAACAGGAATGATTTCCAGAAAGGCCCTTTCAGAGAGCTCCATTCAACCTTATGCCCCATTTCAAGAAGCTACTTAAGCATTTGCCTAATTTTAAGCATGAGGATAGTTCCACTGAAATCCATGGGAGTACTGTGGTGTTTAGATGCTGCTTGTAATTACACTGGTCTACAATTTTTGAGAAGTCGTCTGCTTCAGAGATAAAATGTGCTATTTATTATGTATTTTGATGTGCTGAATTCAAATATGACAATTAAAACAACTGATTGGCTACTGTTTCTAAGATATTTAAGTTTTTACATTTTATGTCTATGTATATTGTGTAGATAGTAGAGTTTTAATCATAAATTGTAAACCTAGGTCTTTTCATGTGTTTATGGTTGCTTTACATGATAATATTTCACCTGTCCTGTTTATGTAACACTTTAAAAATCAGCAAAAGGGTTATATAAATAAAATGTATTATGAAACAAAAGGCAAAAAACTATTATGTACATAGTTTAGTCCTATTCAGTGTCTACTCGGCGCTTCTTGGCTTGTCTCTTGTATTCATTAAATGGAGCATCTCTTGTCACTGTCCAGCAATAGTCTGCAAGCATTGATGGGCTCCATTTGCCCTGATAGCGTTTCTCCATTGTTGCAATGTCCTGGTGAAATCGCTCACCGTGCTCGTCGCTCACTGCTCCGCAGTTCGGTGGAAAAAAATCTAGATGAGAGTGCAAAAAATGTATCTTTAGTGACATGTTGCAACCAAGGCTTTTGTATGCCTTGAGGAGGTTTTCCACCAACAACCTGTAGTTGTCTGCCTTGTTGTTTCCGAGAAAATTTATTGCCACTAACTGGAAGGCTTTCCATGCCATCTTTTCCTTGCCACGCAGTGCATGGTCAAATGCACCATCTCGAAGAAGTTCACGAATCTGAGGACCAACAAAGACACCTTCCTTTATCTTAGCTTCACTTAACCTTGGAAATTTTCCACGGAGGTACTTGAAAGCTGCTTGTGTTTTGTCAATGGCCTTGACAAAGTTCTTCATCAGACCCAGCTTGATGTGTAAGGGTGGTAACAAAATCTTCCTTGATTCAACAAGTGGTGGATGCTGAACACTTTTCCTCCCAGGCTCCAATGACTGTCAGAGTGGTCAATCTTTCTTGATGTAGTGGGAATCTCTTGCACGATTATCCCATTCGCAGAGAAAACAGCAGTACTTTGTGTATCCAGCCTGCAGACCAAGCAAGAAAGCAACAACCTTCAAATCGCCACAAAGCTGCCACTGATGTTGGTCATAGTTTATGCACCTCAAAAGTTGTTTCATGTTGTCATAGGTTTCCTTCCTATGGACTGCATGACCAACTGGAATTGATGGCAAAACATTGCCATTATGCAGTAAAACAGCTTTAAGACTCATCTTCGATGAATCAATGAACAGTCTCCACTCATCTGGATCGTGAACGATGTTGAGGGCTGCCATCACACCATCGATGTTGTTGCAGGCTACAAGATCACCTTCCATGAAGAAGAATGGGACAAGATCCTTTTGACGGTCACGGAACATGGAAACCCTAACATCACCTGCCAGGAGATTCCACTGCTGGAGTCTGGAGCCCAACAGCTCTGCCTTACTCTTGGGTAGTTCCAAATCCCTGACAAGGTCATTCAGTTCACCTTGTGTTATGAGGTGTGGTTCAGAGGAGGAGGATGGGAGAAAATGTGGGTCCTGTGACATTGATGGTTCAGGACCAGAAGTTTCATCCTCTTCCTCGTCTGACTCAAGTGAGAATGATTCTGGTGCATCAGGAACCGGCAGTCCTTCTCCGTGGGGTACTGGGCGTATAGCTGATGGAATGTTTGGATAATGCACAGTCCACTTTTTCTTCTTTGACACACCTTTCCCAACTGGAGGCACCATGCAGAAGTAACAATTGCTGGTATGATCTGTTGGCTCTCTCCAAATCATTGGCACTGCAAAAGGCATAGATTTCCTTTTCCTGTTCAACCACTGGCGAAGATTTGTTGCACAAGTGTTGCAGCATATGTGTGGGGCCCACCTCTTGTCCTGATCTCCAATTTTGCAGCCAAAATAAAGGTGATAGGCTTTCTTAATCATAGTGGTTATACTGCGCTTTTGTGATACAAAAGTCACTTCACCACAAACATAGCAGAAGTTATCTGCACTGTTCACACAAGTACGAGGCATCTCTGCTCACTTTGGCTAAACAGAAATGTGTCCCTTTGCAAAATCAAACACTGACAAATAAGAAAGCACAACACTGTATGATTTCTAGAGCTGATATAGGGCAATTTGTTCAGCAGAGTGATGTAAGCTTCGTTATGATTGCATCATCCATGACTTCTAGGAATAACATGATGCAATTCATATCATGTATGATGCAATACCAGCTTCAGATTGCATCATTCATTGTTTTGCCTAAAAAGCAAGTACTGTCCAAACCCAGTCATAGATTTATTCATAGATCCAGTCAAAGATGTATTTTAGTCATTTCTGGTTTAAATTGAGATCCCTTCCCTTTATAACTCACTTATTCTCTGCCATTCCCAAGTCAAGGGTCGTATATACTGACCCAATAGCATATCTTGAAAACTAGAGTCAATCAACAATTTTAAGCATCATTTTCGTTCTCAGTGACCCCGAATTAGTAAAGTTTGACTACATTTATTTCAGAAGCATTTTGGCTGTAGAGCAGTGTAATTGGTTAAATAACCATGTTACAATATGTTAGGATAAGTAGATAGCTCAGTGGTTTGAGCATTGGCCTACTAAAGCCAGGGTTATAGTTTGATCCTTGAGGGGGCCACTTAGGGATCTAGGGTAAAATCAGTACTTGGTCCTGCTAGTGAAGGCAGGGGGCTGGACTCGATGTTCCTTTCCAGCTCTATGAGCTAGGTATATCTCTACATATTTTATTTATATTATTGGTTAGTTAAATTTCAGTAAAATGATTGGTTAAGGTATAGCTAAGCAGAACTCAAGTTTTACTATATAGTCTGCAGTCAATCAGGAAGTAAGGGGGGGATGGGAACAGGGACTGGGGGTGGGGGAATTAGAATCATGTTTCGCTGGGGGGGAATGGGAACAGGGAATGGGAACAGGGACACAGGCAAGGATCTGTGGTATCAGAGCTGGGAAGGGGGACACTGAAGAAGGAAACTGGAATCATGCTTGCTGGAAGTTTACCCCAATAAACATCAAATTGTTTGCACCTTTGGACTTTGGGTATTGCTGCTCTCTGTTCATGCAAGAAGGACCAGGGAAGTGAGAGGGTGAAGGAATAAGCCCCCTAACACTAGACCCCTAGTACGTTTACAGAGACTATATAAAACAAACAGGAATAATGAAGAAGGGAGTAGCCACGCTGTCAGGCTGAAAAGCTTCCATCAGTCAGACCCATCTGAGCTGCAGCCAGACACACAGGAGACAGTGACCGAGCACTACAGCTCTTTTGACATGAATTTGGGATTCTTTTTTTCCATTGTGCATATTAAAAAAAACAAATAAATAAAGAGCCAATCAAAGAAGCAGAGCTCGGCCAGAACCAGTACTGCACACCCAGCTGCTTCTGAGGCCTGGGGACCGTCTCATTCTGGAGCCAGAGCCAAAGCCTTTCCAGACTGGTTTTTTCCCTCCTTTCCTTAGAGGTCCCTTTATCAGGGAAGCAGGCTGCCACTATCAGGACTCGGATGGGTATAGGGAGTGGGGGAGAGGGGAGGCTGCTGACCCAGGGGAACTCATGAAGGGGACTTTGTGCGTGTGGATACGTACAGTGATGGGCAGAGGAATCTCTAGCAGCGCGATGGTGATGTAGGCAGAGAGCGTGACCTCATCGTCCACCCCACCCTGCAGGGAACCACAGAGAGAGACACATTAACCCCACGCAGCACCTAAAGCCTTTCCCCGCTGGGCCCTCTACATACTACATCCTCATGCCCTTTATCTGCCCACTCTTGCCATGCCCCATGATAGCTCTCACAAATGGGTATGTCTACACTGCAGCGGAGAACGTGAGACATGCACACACCAGCTCCGCCCAAGCTGGTACACTAACAAAGGCAGTGTGGCCATGGGTGGCAGCTCTGGCTAGCTGCCCAAATACAGTCATGCTCAAGATTGGAGTATGTACTTGGGCAACTAGCCTGAGCTGCCATGGCCACACTGCTATTTTCATGGCTGTCTACCTGTGCTAGGAAGTACACTCCCAGCTGCCGTGTAGACACACTCTGCATTTCTGTCCCCATTTACCTCCCATGGTAGTTACCATGTATCTGCCCTCTCCTTTCTCCTCCCCATAGTAGGTCCCACATACAGTACAGTATCTGCCCATCTGTATCTCCAGGGTAGTTCCCAGGCCCATGTCATCCCCTGCTCCTCCCACCCTGGCCCCATGTGCTGAAGTGTCTGAGCTGTTCCCATGCGGAGTTGTAGCTCTCTCCATGTCACTGAAGTCCTGTATCGGTCCCATGGGAAGCCAGCTGGGCAGATACGTCACCTTTATGGCATTGTTCAGGAGCGTCCCAGAGCTGTGGAAGCAGCCGTTTTCCTTCTGCTTGCCAGCGAGCCAGGACAGGGCGTCCTGGATGTGCTTCTCCTCGATGAAGATGTGAGAGCGGGCCTGCGCGAAGGACTTGAGGACGAAGGCCGTCAGCCTGCGACAGAGTGCGGACAGCGGTGAGAGCTCCCTCCCATGCCCTGTGCTTGCTGGAGGGGATGGGGTCCTGGGGCATCGCCAGCCTGAGGGGAAGCAGCAGGGGCCAGAGAGCTGGTGGCCATGGGGCAGAGAGCATGAATACATTGCCTCCACCTTCACCCACCTCCACAGTCTCCTTCACACTGATTTCAGGATCCAGTTTAAGCTCTCTCTTCCTGTTTATAAAATCCTCCCTGGACACAACCAGTCTCTCAAACTTAGGAGCCCTCTTCATGCTAAATACAGCTCTTATAGCAGAGGGTCGCAGGGTTGCAAATGTTGAATCTATATTTAAACAGGGCTCCATGGGTGTTCCAAGGAGTTATACACCAGTTTGCCTGTACTTAGTAAACTAGTCAAAATGACAATTAAAAATAGCATAATAAAAGATTCAGAAGATCATGATCTGATGGGGTCTAAGCAGCATGGCTTCTGCAAAGGAAAATTGTGTCTCACTAATCTCTTAGAATTCCCTGAACATGTCAATAAAGTGCTGAATGAAAGAGAATTGATTGACATAATTTCTTCAGTAGTCTCTTATGACAGACCTTCTCGAAAGCCTTTTGGAAAGTCTAAATGAATTGAATAATCATGGGATGAGGGTCAAAGTGTTGTCGTGGATCAGAAATTGGTTCAGGGACAGAAAACAAAGACTAGAATTAAATGATCAAATCCATCATAGCACAAGGCTAACAGTGGGGTGCTGCGAGGTTCAGTACTAGGACTGGTGTTGTTTAATATACCTATTAATGATCTTGATAATGGGCGATTGATGGCATAGCAATTCCTATGGTCCTATCTAGCACCAGGTTGCTCTCTACCTCTAACCCAGTTCCACCACTACGGGTATGAGAGTCTCCCCTCTGCAGCTCCCTGTCTGGAACAGCCTCCCCTGGATCTCTTCATCTTTTTTCAAAAATGATCTGAAACCATCCCATCCCCTTTGTCTCTTCAGTTCTCTCTCTCCTCAGGGCCAGTGGGAACAGGTGCTTTTTATACACAGCAGGCTGATGAAGCCTATTCCCTTTGGTGTGATATGCCAAGGGACTGTGAAAGCTCCAGCGAGCCCTCAGGCCTTTAACAGCATCACCAGTTGACTAAAATTTAACACTTCCTTTATAACTATATAACAGAGGAGGTTTAGGGGAGGTGTGACTGGCAAGAAATCTCACCAGGTATTCCCCGGCTGCCTGTAATGCTCCCCAAATGTGCTGTAAGAGCCATCCAGGTGCTTGTAATTCAGCTGCCTCTGATAACCTGAAATGGAAAGTTAAAGCAGGATTTATACATCAGAAA